ATGAGGTGACGTCTTCCTGTGGTCGGGTTCGCTCTTTGGAAGATGAGGTAACCTCTCTGAAGAGCGAACTGGTGACGGCGGCCGAGAAGCGCCTCTGTGACGAGGTCGTGATTGGGGGAAAAGAGGAGGAGGTCGCCACCTTGAAGGCAGAGCTGGCGAGGCAAGAGGCGGAGAGGAAGGTGCTGGAGAAGAAGCCGGAGGAAACCGAAAAAGCTATCGTTGTTGAGCATAAGCGCGGTTTCCTCAAGGCAGCTCGCCAGGCAAGGCTTCTCGCCCCGGGGTTCGACTTCTCTACCATGCACGTGGAGAAGGTAGTCCGCTTTGGGAAGTTGGTGAAGGAGGACGACCTCGAGGGTAGCTCAAGTGAAAACGCCTCTGCGTAGGGCGGTTAATGTTTTTGTGTTTTATTTCTCTTTTGTTTTGTTGAATTCATGTAGTGAACTCTGTAAACATGGCTTTGTATATACGTATTTTCTTTGTTTGCTTACGTTTGTTCTTGATTTTTTCTATTTGCGCATTTTGAGGCACACGTTTGATGTCTGTTGTATGTTTTTGTATGCGGTGATGCCTTCGCCTTGTGTTGACCAAGTCAAGGTTCGAAGTCGCCCTTGGTTTTTCGTTAAGTGAGTGTTTCCGTGAAGGTTCGAGTTCGACCTTCATTTATTAGCGCCGAGTGTTCAAAGTCGACCTCAAATTGATGTAGAGTGAATTGCGCTAAGGTTCGTACTCGACCTCGGATGAAAGTGTTAACATTCGTACTCGACCTCATAGTTTTGGCGAGGTTCAGACTCGACCTCGGATGAGCGTAATAGAGTTAAATGAATTTTCACGAGGTTCGAATTCGACCTCGGATGAAAGTGTTAAGGTTCGTACTCGACCTCATAGTTTTGGCGAGGTTCAGACTCAACCTCGGATGAGCGTAATACAGTTAAATGAATTTTCATGAGGTTCGAATTCGACCTCGGATGAAAGTGTTAAGGTTCGTACTCGACCTCATAGTTTTGGCGAGGTTCAGACTCAACCTCGGATGAGCGTAATACAGTTAAATGAATTTTCATGAGGTTCGAATTCGACCTCGGATGAAAGTGTTAAGGTTCGTACTCGACCTCATAGTTTTGGCGAGGTTCAGACTCAACCTCGGATGAGCGTAATACAGTTAAATGAATTTTCATGAGGTTCGAATTCGACCTCGGATGAAAGTGTTAAGGTTCGTACTCGACCTCATAGTTTTGGCGAGGTTCGGACTCGACCTCGGATGAGCGTAATAGAGTTAAATGAATTTTCATGAGGTTCGAATTCAACCTCAATGAAAGAAGTTGGTTCGATTTCGTCCTTTATAAAACCAATAAATAAGAATGTGGATTGAGCAAAATGGGTGATTTTATTGATCATTTTTGTGTGCCTCGTTAAAAACCCTCTCAGTCAAGGACTGAGGCGGGAAAAGAGTGCACAACTTCCTTCATACAGAAAAGAGAAATGGAACTTAACGAGCTACGGTGGGGGGACCCCCCTTGATTTGCTTGCCGGACGAGGAGATCTTCAGACTCTCGGCGTAACACTGCCGAGCTATCTTCTGATTTGCTTTGACGGAGATGATCTTACCGTCATTCCCTAGGAACTTCATGGTGAGGTGTGGAGTGGATACCACTGCTCTGAGCTGATTCAAGGTTGGCCTCCCGATAATAACGTTATAGGAGGTGTTGGCCTCCACGAGGAGGTATCAAACCATAATGCTCCTCGGTGGCCTTGCTGTCGCTGGATGTATTGGCCGAGGTGGCTTGCTTGGACGAGCTCTTCGATACGGTCCCAGAGCGTTCGACACTCCTCCGTGGTGTGACCGTGGTTCATGTGGTACCGACAGTGCTTGGACTTGTCGCCGCTGTTGGGAGTGTGACCTGGTGGTGGAAGGGCGAGTAGGTTGTTGTTGCTGGCTTCTTCCAGAATGTGGACTCTGGGTGCGTTCAGGGGAGTGTAGAAGTCATACCTCCCCCCTCTGTTTGCCCTAGCCAACTTTTTGAACTGGGTGTCATTGTTGACTTTGACCTTATCGTTGTGCCCCTGCTCTGGCTTCGCTGGTCCTTTTCCGCGAACCTGGTCACGGAAGGCAGAGTGCTCCTCCATCTGGATGTAACCTACAGCGCGGGCACGGAGCTCGTCCATGTCGCGAGGAGACTCACGACACAAGCTGTCGACGAATGGCCCGGGCTTGAGTGCCATGAGCATGGCATGTAGGGCGACCTCGGGATTCAAGTTCCTGATCTTGATCGAGGTGGCAACGAACCGTTCCATGAATGCCTGGAGCGGTTCGTCGTCGTTTTGCCTGAGACTGGCCAGGGCGGCTGAAGTGACATGGTGAGGTCGGCTCGTCGCATATTGCACGGTGAACCGTCGGACTAGGGTGCCGAAGCTGTCGATGGACTCGGCAGGCAGTTGGGTGTACCAGTTGAGCGCGGAACCCTTAAGTAAGGTCGGAAACACCCTGCACAAGATAGCATTGTTGTTGGTGTAGAGATTTACTTGTGTTGTGTACAGGTCGATATGCTCGTCCGGGTCCGTCGTGCCATCATAGCGGTCGAGGTGGAGAGGCTTCCACCCATGAGAGAGTGGTGTCTCCATAATGCCATCCACAGAAGGGTGGCGGCGGAAGGTTGCCTGATCCCCCGCGACATGAGTAGGAGCCTTGCTGACTTCATGGGTTGGCTTGTGCGTCGGTGCATGGGATCGATGTGAAGCAGGTTTGGGGGTTGAAACCCTAGTTGCAGTCCGGGATTGGGAGACTGAGTGCTCCTCCTCCTCATTGTGGTTGCTCGTATGAGGAGGATGATCGGAGTGGTGTCGAGGGAGTTGAGTGTGGATTCGCTCGTTCTTAGCGCGTAGCGCCGCCAGGTCGGCTTCATTAGCGGTACGCATTGCCGCTAGGTCAGTGTCGTGCTTGGCACGCATGTTTTGTAGGTCAGCGGCGTGTTGCTGCCGCATCTGTTCGACCTGGTCGATTAGTCTCCTCAACGCTGCTTCGTTATCCATGGTAGTTGAGTGGTTTGCGTCGTCTGTTGTGCGTCTACTATGGCTTCTGGTGAAAACCATAAGCGTGGCCGATAAGAGCTGTCTTGATCGGCCCCACGGTGGGCACCAAATGTTCTTACCGGAAATCTGCTGAAGAGCTGATCCGCCAGGTAAGATCGGTGAGCCTCCTTCACTAGTACGCTTGATGCTCCAATATGGGGGTGGTACCTGCAAAAGAGACTCCGATGCTGAAGTTAGGGTTTGTATGAGTATGAATCTCATATATGTAATGCACGTACCTTGGTGTGATTTAGGGTTGCTTTGGGCCTTGGGCTTGAGATAAGATATGATAAGATTAGATAGTGGATCTCGTCCGAAGCGAGATCTCTCGAGATCAGTTATGATCTGTTTAAATGCCGAGCTGACGTCGCGTAGCGCATGCCCGACCTTGTGCTGTGATGCCGAGCTCGGAGCTCGACTTCGCGATACGGACAGTACACATACTATAAGTATAGATTAGTCATTACTTGTTAATTTTAAAATATTGTATAAATCATTAAAAAAATATGTAGAAACATAAAAACTCTTTTATTATACAACACTTTTAATTAAACTTCCATTTAGAAAACCTAAAAAGGGAAAGATCATTTGGATGTCATGTCTTGACCAATGATTTTCGCTTCTATCGTTTGCCAGCAAATAATATCATTTACTCATTTAGTACTATTGTATGATTTGTATCATAATGTATAGAAGAAGAAAAAAAGTATTATTGTAACATAGGCCTAAAAATGAAACAAAAAGACTACGAACGTTTACAAGCAGTAGAGTACAGAAACTTGTTACGAATAAGGATATGCTCTTCTAAGAGTAAATTTTTTTATATTATTAATTTTTAAATTATCAATTAATTATATATAACTTTTATGTATTGAAATAATATGCACAAGCTTGCTTTGGATTTGATTAATCGGGATGTACGGAGTAATCATAGATATGGACAATCATTCATCACATTAGAAGCTTGTAACTAAACCTTGGAATATTAGGTTGCTTCATTCATTACGAAAAAGTAATAAATGTGCTGATTTTCTTGCTAAGTTTGACTCAAACTACTCGAGAATAACTCTAGTAGAATTAAAAGACCCTCATTGAGTTAGAGTCTCATCTCTTAGCTGATGCAAGCAACATTATTAAGAATGCAATTTCTTTTGATTTTTGTTGCTTTTGTTTTCTTATATAAAAATAATAATATTCACATAATCTTAAATTAAAATTCTCTTCCCGTCATTATGATCCTGATATAAGAAAAAACTCACCAAAGTTATTAATCATATCGGTTTATGATCGAATATAACTATGAAAAATCCTCTATACTGTTGCTACATACATATTATTTATTCATACTTTATACGATTTTATGAGATGCATTCATCGGAGTCATGTTATATTGTTTTTCCCTTCCTTAACTGCCGTACGTAGTTGTATAAATTAATAATTTAATATATATATATATATATATATATATATATATATTCATTCTGACATAGACATGTTGAATTGGTGAAGACGAAAATAAGTAATAAATTATTTTATTTTTAAATTTAAATCAATCTTATCGTCTAATAAATAATCAATTAAATTAGAAAAAGAGATCAGTAAGATGAATTTGATTTCTGATAATTAACATATGAAAAATAAAAATTAATTCGAACCTATCTAATTCAAAATTTTATTTTTAATAATAAAATCATACACCAAAATATAATATCCAATAATAAAAGATTATTCTATTAAATTTTAAATTTTCGAGACTCATATTCATAAATATGATAATTAGATATAAAATCTCTATCTCTAAAATAAGAAAACAACAATTATACTTTTAAATATTGTGAGTAAGTTAATCCTATTACGTTTTCCGACCGAAGCAGATTGATGATACATGTGACATTAGTTTTGACTTGTGAGTTGAGACTCTGCAGCACCGGTATGAGTTGTGAATCATGATTATATACATAACTAAATCGAGAGTGAGGGAAGCGATTTTCACAAAGAAGCTAGCAACTAAAAAAGTAAAAAAAGAAAAAGAAGAAAAGAACTCATATACCAGAATAAGAAAAAAGAAAAAGCTAATATTTTGCAGAAATATATATTTATAATCGGAAATATATATATAACCCTTACGGTTTTGAAAAAATGAAGTAATATTTTCCAAAACCTGGCCTATATATGTTTTTTTCCCCAAAAATCCCCCCCTTTAATTTCCATCTTTATATACTTGACTTTTAATAATTACATAGAGTGTTGGTATTATATATGATTAATTTAGTTGATTAAGGAGCGAGGTCCATATTTATGTGATGAGCGAAGTATTGCATGTCCATGGAGACGGAGGGGAGGAGGAGAAGGAGGGTTGCAATTGTTGGAAGATCAAAATTTGAGTCAAGTTGGAGACTTTTTGGTGGAGAAGGGTTCGCTCGGACCGGAGCCATTCGTTTTCGGTTCGCACGCGGTTGCAGTGGTGCACCACGAACTGCAACCGGTTACTCAGTTCCCGGTTCTCCACCCTACACTTGCTCAACTGGTTCCGCAGATTCTCCAGGTGTCTCTGCTTCCGCATCCGCGACCTGCGGGCCGATTCCCGGTTCGAGATCATGCGCCGCCGTTTCCGCTCCTCGGCCCGTCGCTCCGGTTCGGAGGGGTCCGGTCCGCTCTTTTCGTGGCTCTGGTTGGGCTCGTCCGAACCGGAGCTGGAAGTGAGGGCTTTGGGGGAGAACGGGTTTTCCAAGGGAGGGAGAGCGGAGAGCATGGTTTGGGGCAGAGTAACGGGGTTTTCAGAAATTAGGGGGTGGAGGAGGAGAGGAGGGAGAAAGGGAAGAAATGCGGTGCACAACCCCGTTATTTATGGACCCCTTCATGGGGGCAAACGCTGTAATTTTCTATGCTTTCTAAGGGTCTTAAGTCAACTGTGTTTTCTACACTGCATGGCTTTTGAGTCATTTCCCACTATGGATGTGGGGCCTCTTTAGGTTCGGCTAGGGCCGTAGGGCATCCTTGCTTACCTTTAAACTTTAAACTTTCATTTTTAATCTTGGTCGTGATTAAGGTAAAACTACTAAACACAGTTATATCTTATATATATTATAAACCTATGAAGCGTCGTCCATGCTTTCCCCTCTTAAGTATGTATTCTGTATGAACGTCATAATCTTGTTGAACACACAGTTAGATATTTATATTTTAACGTCTCTCTCGCCAAAGTTATATGTTTCGTAACTCATCACTTTTCTAATAATATTTTTCTTTTCTTTCAAAAGTTATGTGTATATGTTATCCTATTGGGATCAGCTCACTTAGTTAACTTTTATAATATACATATCATGAATATACGACTAATCTCTTGTAATGTTTTTCATTATTTTTTTTGGATTCTCTTACACCATTTTCCCTTCTTTATAAGACGAGTATTAAAAGTCTTTGTTTAGATAAGAAAAATAATCTTTTTTTAATCATGTTATTAGTATAAAATATCTATTAATTTTGTTAATGATTAATTTTTATTAAAAATATTAATAATTAATAAAATTAATAAAATTTATATATTAATTGCGGTTAAATGTCATGTGAAGAAATGTACATTTCTTATTATGAATGGTCAATAAATTTAATGTACAGCTTAAAATTAAGCTATGTATAGGAATAGATATTATATATATATGGGTCACGATACCCTTTTACCTCAAATTGATGTATTTTGTTTTTGTTGATAAAAAACAAAATAAATAATTAAATCTGAAAATAGTACCGAATTATATATGATTTGTTAACAAATAGGCTTGGATAGTTGGATGATTGTAGTTTGTAGTCAAAGATCTCTTTAGTAATAAAAACACTAATAGTTGGTATCACATAAGACACGTGCGAAGGTGCAATTAGGAGTGAGTGGCCACGCGTGTCCAATGATTAGGAAGGTTGTCGAGAAGAGCCAACTTTTGCTACTGTCTTAGCGTAAGTAAAGGGAAAAGGATGGCTATCCATTTTTGGAGCGCGGGAGATAAAAGAAAGAGAAGAATATTAAGAAAAGAGAAAAATAAGAAATGTGATAAATGATATAAATTAGTATGACAAAAACAAATAGAGAGAAGAATGAAGTAAGAAAGAGGCGAAAATTCATGTGAAAAAAACTGAATATATTGCACAAGCGACAAGTTTATGAATATTATTGTTATATATATATATATATATATTTTTTAAAAGG